TGTTCAGTGTCAAGCAAAAGCTGCAAACGTATTCACAGTGCTTTGGAACCATAACCATTCTCCAAGTGCACCACAGAACAGAACCATACTAAAAGTGCATGGCCTTCGCAGTCGTACCCGGAATGCCAAGCGCAGGCCACCAGCATGTTTCGGCCGCCCCTCCGGCTGAGCTCTCTGTGCGCCAGACCAGTCGTCCCAGCGGGAAACAAGCAGGTACGCCATACGCCCTTACCCAGGAGTCTCAGGCCGGGGTTCTTGGAAATGCTTCCTAGGAACTTGGTAGGAAGGAGCTGCCTGGAGGGGGGGGGCTCTCCCGCTCTAGAGACTGTCAAGGCAACTGGACAGCCCTCTGAGCGGGGTGGCGTGACGTGGTGTCCTGCAGCAGCAGGGGTGGACCTGGGGGCCTTCCCGGCCCCTTCCAGCTCGCCCGTTCTGTGATTACGAGCCTGTGAGGAAGGTGTTTCTGCCCACACCAGGAGGGCAAGATTTTTTGTTACCGGTTTCAGCCAAACTTTGTCCACGGACGCAGCATCTTGGTTCGTGATGGCCCAGTTCCTGCTCCCTGGAATCCCCAGGCAGGGCTTGCTTGCCATCGGCAGGAATGAGCTGCGTTGCGTGTGGCTTGCAGTGTGTGCTTTGGGCACACTTCTTCGTTGTCGGCCATCGCAGGGCGGCGTATGCCGCTTTTTGCAAGCTTTCACTTTAAGCCTGTAATAACCTTCATAATGATTCATGGGGCGACTCTGCCTGAATGGCCATAAATCCCGCTCAGATGCTTTCCATTTGGCAGTTCTTTGTCTCAGGGCTTCGCCGCACTAATGAGCTAATTGTTTAAGAATCTCCCCAGATTCCTTTGCCTGCTCAGCCTCTTTGGGAAGCCCGGGCTGTGGAAGACCTTTTGACAAGCCCATCGTTCCACCCGCCTGACAGTGGGGTGAGGAATAGCGCCGTCTTTGTGGCCACGCGAAGAAAGGGTCTTTCCAGCAGCCAGCCGTGCCGCTTCCGCCCTGACCCCTTTTCTCTGCTGGGAACATAAGCGCAGCAGACAAGCGGAACCTCCCCTGTGTTTTCTTGACCCATTGACTGTCCATTCACTTCCCATCTGGTTTTGGAGCCTTAAAGAAACAGAGGGGGCCTCTTATTATACATCTGTCTTTGCCAGTGATCGATGGCGCTCTGTTTCTTTAAGGGCAGCCTGGGTGGCTTTCTCTTTACGGTTTCTCTTTTTCCTGTTGCCCAACATGGTATGTGAACAAGAGGAAACTAGTTCAGAAATGTGAAGCATTAATGTAAGGTGATTTTTAAGGGGAGAAATTAGCGGGCCATGACCCTGGCTGGGATCTCTCGGTTCGAGCCGCTTCCCATCACATCGCCGTGCTCGGCGCACAGAAGCTCGCGCAGAGAGACTCCCTCTGCCATTTCTGCAGCAGCCACATTGTCCGCAGATGCAGTTCATTGGCACGGTTTTGCTGGCCATGCTGGCCGGAGCAACCGCACGTGGGCGAGTGGTGTGCCGAGCGCCTGGTGCTGAGCCCGCATTGCCTTGGCCAGCGGGATGCACGATTGTGGCGCCCAAGGGCCATCGCCCCCCCCCCGCCCCCTGGAGCGGGTCCCTGCGCCCTTCGTCTTCAGGGCCGGGGGTCCCGCTCAATTCTCGGCCCTTTTCTCTGCTGGACAAATAGGAAAGAAATGGGTAATAGAAGGGACATGGGGAATTACAGACCTGTTAGCCTCATGTCCATTGTAGGAAAAACAATGGAAAGGCTCATAATAGAGAGAGATCTAGTGATGCTAGATAGGGAAGGGAGGCTGGCGGCCACACAACATGGCTTCCGCAATACAGGTCCTGCCAGACAAGCCTTGTGGAATTCTATGACAAGGTTTCGAGATGGCTGGATGGAGGGGATGCAGTGGATGTGGTTTACCAGGATATCATGGGGCACTTT